TCGCCGCGTGGCCAGACGCCAGCAGCGGTGCCCCAACAACCGAGACATCGTCCTCGAGCTCTCGAAGATATACGACTCGAATTACGTCGACGAGTCGGGTTTTGGGCATTTCCATGTGGCCTGCATGTACGGTACGAGAGGACAGGGATCTGATCATGGCGATGCTGAGAAAGGGCGGTGATCCTAATCTGGCCGACGAGGAGGAACTGACTCCTCTGCACTGCGTCTGCTCGGCTATCAGACGCTGCGGAACATCGACGCCCGGGACGCGCAGGGTCGGACCACGCTGCAGCTAGCCGCTGCGAATTTCATGCCGCTGACCTTTTGTTTTACATATTCCTTGTAAGCACCTTCATTCAACTTTCACGGCGACGTTTCATTCAACTTCTTATTCAGCGACTCTGGTTTTTTTTCGTCCGATTGGGCGCGTTGAAAAATATATGATATCGGTATCGCGTTTGCATCTCCATAGTCGTCGGAGCCCAAAAATATTTTGCTTATTACGATATTATCGCGTATTTATAAGGAAATTTTCTTCTAAATTTCACTACTGTGCGTGTCGCTATATAGTAGTAGTGGCATTATTGCGTTTGTGTAAGATAATAATGATAGTTATTTCTCAGGGAGATTCGCGAACGCTAGAATCATTTCATTTGTCTTTCAATTTTCCGTACAAACGTATCGTTGATATAAATTGTTTACTAATTTCTTCGACGACGTAATTATAACTATCCTACCTTTGGATAACTTCGAAATTTCACAGCACAGAAAAACCAACAAAGAACACAGAACTGTGTACTTGTTCCGTTGTTTACGTCGTGCATGCGACCTCTCGGTGTGTTGCCCGCTATACATGTTTTGCCGTGCATACCAAATAGCTCTCAGTACTACAGAGAAGGGCCGCGCGGAGCTCATCGAGCTGATGATCTTCCGATTCGCACGCAGTTTTTGAAGATACAGCGAGCGCAGCACACGCATCTATTCTTCGATCTTATCTTTCGTGTTTAGTTTTTCGTTTGCCTTATATGGAAAATCATATTTGAGAGGTCAATCGTTTGTGAAATTCCATGTGACAATGATGGAATCCAGTGACGGACTCGATTGCGTTGTCAGGTAATTTTTATTGTTTGATAATGAAATCATAATAACGTCATAACCTAATACTCAAGTCTACCGGATTTATTTTAGAGTAAAAGAGGAGCCAAGCGATGTGTCGCTTAATGAAAATAATCAAGAAATGATTGACGAGAAACCCGACTTGAAAAACTTGCCACTCTTGCCATTAATTGAAGAAAATGCAGTAAGGATTCATATTTATATGTAACTCGTATTTTTCTTGTTATGAAAATTCTTACATAGCTTCGATTTTTCGACAGACCGTTACGCTTTCCAAATTTGAAGAAAATCGTGAATTCGATGACGAAGTGGAAATAGTCGTTGAATGTGAAGACGTCAAGCCCAACATTAATTCAATAAAAAGTAAGAAATTCGACGATGATAATCAAAATCCGTTGCAGAATATAAAAGATAGCAATGATTATAACACTCTGAACATAATAAAAGTGGAACCCAAAGAGAAAGCGAAACAGGAAGTTTTTATCGGCGCTACAGAAGACACAAATATAAATTTCGATACAAATTTAAATCTCTCAGCTAAGAATTATCTTAACCATCACGTCGATTCAGTGCATAATAAGACCACTCCCGCTTGTGATATGTGTAGCAAGACATTTTCGCGAAAAGATTATCTCAAAATCCACATGGATTCAGTGCATAATAATATCACTCACAAATGCGATACGCGTGGCAAAACATTCCCGCAAAAAAATACTCTCAGGGAACACGTGGAAGCGTCGCATGGCCATAATAAATCCATCTGCGATTTATGTAAAGAAAAATTTTCATATAAAAAAAGTCTCAAACGTCACGTGGATTCAGTGCATAATAATATCACTCACAAATGCGATACGTGTGGCAAAACATTTTCACGAAAAAATAATCTCAGGCAACACGTGGAAGCGTTGCATGGCCATAATTACTTCACCTGTGATTTATGTAAAAAGAAATTTTCATATAAAAGAAGTCTTAAACTTCACGTGGATTCAATGCATAATAATATCACTCCCGCTTGTGATTTATGCGGAAAGACATTCTCAAATAAGGGTAATCTCAATATCCACATGGATTCAGTACATAATAAGATAACTCACCCATGTGATATGTACGGCAAGACATTTTTTCGAAAGGATAAACTGAAAATTCACATGAATTCAATGCATAATAAAAACACTCACGCCTGCGATATATGCCACAAGACATTCACACAAAAATGTAATCTCAAAATCCACGTTGATGCGACGCATATTGGTGTTACTTATACATGTGACGATTGCGGAAAAAAATTCACAACTAAGGCCTCCCTCAAATATCACACGGATTCGTTGCATAAAGGCATCAATTACGGTTGCAATTTATGCGGAAAGAAATATACAAAGGAGAGCAAGCTCAAAGCCCACATCAATTCAAAGCATCGTTCGCGCATCACAACTTAATACATAAAAATTTTGGTTTATATTAAACCCCATGAGTTTCTCTAATATCATCTCTTTACTTAAAAACAATGTTCAATTTAGAAAATAAATATAAATAAATTTTGGAAAAAATGAGTCACACAAATTGCAAGCTTTTTTCGCTACCTACTCACGTCCATGGTAAATGAATCCCTTCAAAACTCCTCACACTATTCAGAACAGCGATTTTTTACAATCGAAAATATACAAACCTACCTCACGCTCCGATACCCGAGGCACTAATTGAAAGTGTCTGAATTTGCATAGATTACGCCTATCTATATACACGTGCTCCGTGTGACCATGCGTATGATGAGACGCTCGCGCGATTAACCCTCGCGTGACGCGTCTATAAATAACGTATTCTGCGTTCCGTTGCGCATTTGGTTGGAAATTCGCGCATTATAAATACGTAAGTACCTAAGCGGTATGTATACGAGGGGCTAATAATCGAACGAGATGATCCTGGCAAATATTGGATGAAGGTGTTCCCGATTTATAAATAGCCTGGCATACGCGATATTATATTATTCTCCCCCTTTTGCGTTTCGCGATACGCTCGCGGCAACGACAACGACGACGTCGACGTCGACGTCGAGAGGTGATTCGATCAGTCGTCTGTGCGAAATCGAATATGATAAAGGGAGGCGAGACGGGCGCGGGGGGCAATTTCGATTTTCTAAAAATGCCGCCGCTGCAGTAATTCGCTTCGTGGAGCTTATATCATAGAAATAATATAATAGTGGTAGTACGCTTAATCTATATTTATGCGCCGAGTGTCACCTACACGACGAATTTCCAATTCATAATGTCATATAGATGTATACGAGGTGGGGAGCTGTGCTTTTTCCCTCCTCGCCTCGTTACGCGCGCCTCGGCACGGAGAATCTGCAGCCCGAGGGGGGGGGGGGCACATATACATACATACAGCCTAGCGAATGTTTGCCAGCTGACATATGCTTTTTCGCTTACGTCCGCGCGACGATCGTTTGTTTTGCCGATTGTATACTACGGCACACGCGCGTATTACACGTCTGTTTTTTTGTCGCTGTTATTATTCCATTTGCCGGTCTCGGGGCGCGCGAAAGCGCATTTTACACTCGCGGAGATACAAAAAAAAAAAAGAAGCATCCGATAAACGGTCCACGCGCTTTGTCGCGCGCGTGTCCCGGGGAATGGCATATTTCATAACGTGTTTTTTTTATCATGCCCTCTCTCTCTCTCTTTCAGTTCAAGTTCCATTTTCCGTTTTCTCTTGCTCGTTGCTTTTTTTTCCTCATCTCTCTCTCGCTCTCTTTTACCTTGGGGCTTGCTTCTTCGTGTATGTATATGCTATCTTATACTGAATGACTTGGGAGACTGTACTGCTTGGCTCCGCGCTTACTCTCTATATGTATGTTTCTCTGCCGCGCGCACTCGAGGTGAAACTCTCGCCGAGGGACCCGACGTCGCTCGACCAACCCTTCGTAATCTCTCTCTCTCTCTCTCTTTATATATAGCGAGGGTATCACGTACCAAACCGAGGGGTGTGAATACTGGAGACTCTCGCCATGTCTGCTCGTATACAACATGTACACGCCGGGATATATATATTCTTGCGCTCGCTGCACGAGAGCTTTATTATTGTGTTGGCCTCGGAGTCTCGTGATGTGTATGTGTGTGCATAAAAAAAACACATACGAACGCCAGAGACAGAGAGAGAGAAAGCTCGAGAATGGATTTGCCTCGTTTTCCTCTAATCATAATTAGCTGCTATTTGCGCGACGAGCCTCAGCTCTCTCTCTCTCTGTCTGTCGAGCTCGATTATATTAAATGAATGCCTCTCCCCGGGACTCGGCTGCCGCTTGTCGGAGTCTAGGATCGGAGTCGCTCGAGAGCCATTCAATTCGTCGACGTGCACATGCTGCGCGACTCGAGCGCGCGAGCTTTTTTTTTCTTGTGTTTTGCGGCGGTGGCGTGACGTGACGTGACTCCGCATTGAAAAGCATATATCCCTGAATTGTCCGAGAGGGTGCGAAAATTTCGCGCGTGAATTTTCCCCGTATTTTAAATGCCCCGAAAAACCGCATATATTCATCTCGAGCGAGATGAACGGCTGACTTCGTGCAATATGTCACGCGCTGTTTTCGCGCGCCGACGCGTATATGAGACATTTATACTTTATAATACGAAATACCGGCGTATCTCTCGTCGTTCGAGATTTTTCGTGCGTATGATTCGCTGCAAGCGATAAGGGCTTTACGTTATATTGTATACGTCGTATATAATCCAAACCGAGACCGAGTCGAGAGATTATATACAGATCGATTGAGGTGGTATGTAAAGCTTGCAGCTGAATACCTCAAGAATTGTGTCGAAGCTCAATGAACGCGTAATGACACGACAAGATTTTTCTAACTCTTTACCCCTATTTTTTTTTCTTTTTAACAGACACGACTGACGCGCCGCTACCGCATCAAGGCCGGCGTGCCGACCCTCGTGCTGCTGGACAACGCCACGGGCCAGGTGATCACGCGGGGCGGCGTCGAGCGCGCCCTGGCCGATCCCCAGGCGGTGGGCTTCCCCTGGCGGCCGGCCCATCCCAAGCAGGCCCTCGAGGACGGCCCGCTGCTGCCGTGCGCCGGACGCGACAGCAACGAGCCGATGCTGCACGAGGAGCTTAGACACTGCTACAAGGCCGTCTACTTCAGTGCCCACTGGGTTCGTATTGCACTTCCTGTTTTTTCATGAACGAATTACAAGGCGAATCGTGAGTTCGCGTGAGAGACAGATCCGAGATTGTAATTTTTTTTTTTCATCTTTTTGCAGTGTCCGCCTTGCAAGGCTTTCACGCCGCAGCTCGTCGAGACGTATCAGCGCATAAGGGAGCGCGGTCACGACTTCGAAGTGATTTTCGTTAGCTCGGACAGGTGAGATATCGACAGAATATCATAATAGCTTTTTGCTTCGACTTTTCCTCGTCGATTATTCATTTATAGACTACGTAATGAGAATGAGATTGACAGGAATAGAGGGAGCGGATTCGTTCGGGGGATGCACGACAAAGCTTCGTTTTTTGTTAAAAAATTAAAATTCATCTATTAAATTAATAAAAAAAAATTTTTTTTTTTCGTTTTACTATTTACAATACTCGTCAACGAGTATGTATGAGGTAGGATTCCGTTTAGGATTCCATGGGGGCGGCGGCGGCCACCTGGGCGGCTTCCTCGCGGATGCGGTCCTTCTTGAGTTGACCCATGAAGGCTGCCTTGTCGGCGGCGGTCTGGAAGCGACCGTGACCGAACTTGGAGCTGGTGTCGATGAACTTGAGGTTGATCTTCTCGAGAGCGGCGCGCTTGGTGTGGACGAGGAGCGACTGTAATTAAAAGAGGCATAAGATTAGTATCGTTGCAAGGGGAAATTACAGATATGAATTTGATTCTAGTATTTGCTTCAGTCCTATCATTCAGAATCATGGAAATTTTTTTCATAATCCTTTTGGCTCTAGGTATACTCATCATGGTAAAAAAAAAAGAGTAGTAGCTAATGATATCTTTCAAAAACTCTTTACACACCTTTCTCAGAGTGATGACACGCTTCTTGGTTCCCATGCAGCAACCCTTGATCATGATGAAGTCATTGTTGACCTCACCGTAGTGGGGGAAGCCACCCATGGGGGTGATGGTTTTCTCAGTGAGATCGTAGGCGGTGGAAGCGTTATCCTTGACAACCTAATAAAATAAACGTACATAATTAATAAAGAATTCGTTGAAAATTAAGTATTTGGAGGAATGAGTTTTTAAATGAATGAAAATGTAGCTTGATTGGGAATCTCCCAAGTGATAAAAGCACAAGAGAGAACTATGACACAGCTCAGATTTGCTCTAGCCTCAACTAACTAGGGTACTCGACCCAAGGCACAAAGTCCAAGTTCGAGTTTTTAGAGGCAGATAGTCGGATGTAATTGAAAGTAAAATTTACCTTTCCGTCCTTGGTGTGTACACCATCTCCGATGCGGTAGATCTTCTTGTTCATCTCAGTACGGTGATGGTATCCCTTCTGACCGGCGCGAGCGACGGTGAAGGATACTCTGCTTGGATGCCAAGCACCGATACAAGCGACCTTCCTCAGACCCTTGTGCGTCTTGCGGGGCAGCTTCTTTGTGTGCCAACGGGAAGTAACACCTTTGAGAAAAAAAATAATACGTTAGAAACATGTCAAATGAAATATTCATCAAGTACTTGACGAACTCAATAACTTCAGTAGGAAGGCAGCATGAGTGTTTCACCAGAATAGTCTGATTAGGCAATCATGTTTTTTCATCATGGTAATTGAATCAGCTCGAACATCTCCATAAAAATAACAATAAACAAAGCGATATCTTACCCTTGAATCCCTTTCCTTTGGTGACACCGATGACATCGATCATCTCATCTTTAGCAAAGACATTCTTGATGGGGATGGATTTTTCCAAGTGTTCCTTGGCCCATGCAACTTTGTCGGCGATAGATCCACCGTTAAGTTGGATTTCCATGATGTGGGCTTTCTTTTGCCTTTGGTTCATGAGCTTCATTTGGGTGTGGGCAATGACGCGTACAACCTTGCAGTACTTCACGATTTTCTTGAAGTTTGATTCAATGTTAGATTTTCCAGCCTCATCGGACCATTTCTTGGAAGCCTTGGTAAAGGCCTTCTTTTGGCTCTTGTACCTATGAAAAATTGAATATCCTTTCTGAAGTTGTTTCTGAGGTTGTCCTTATTCTGTGGAACTGGAAAATGTGAGGATCTCATCGGTGGATCACATTGTGAAAACCACGAGTGAGAGGAGATCTCAACACCTTCTTACTAGTTGAGCCTTTTCAAGAATCATTATAGAATTCTTTTTGAGATTAGTTTCTCAATGGTTCAAACTAGCGGCTCCGGTTAAATATTGCATGGCATATTTCTTTTTGATAGTAATGAAGTATAAAAAAGATATGCTCAAAAGGTACTGTAAAAAAACTTACCAGTTCTTGTAGAAACGTCTTCTGCATTCCTCTCCAAGATGCTCGGCCCACACAGTAGTGAGAGCACGGAGACCATGGGGAGTTTCGATGTATCCAACAACACCGACAACAACCATTGGTGGGGTTTCGAGGATGGTGACAGCCTCAACAATTTCTTTCTTGTTGACCTCTGTTAAGATAAATTTACATGTTAGAAGTGTTCTAGTTTTTCAGTAACTAAAAGTAACATTATATTATAAGACTGTGTTCAGTATGGTTTGTCTCTCTGTCTTGGCCCAACGGGCTACATCAAGATTATGGAATATACCGAACTTATGCTCACACCTACAAGTAGGGGGCAAGTTCTCTATTCGCCTTGCAGTCTGGAGAACATACCGTACAGACGGCTCTCGTACTGCCATCAATTTCAAAGAAAGTGATCCCCAGGCGTTCAAAAATTATTTTAGCATTACGAGGTAGCAGATTGAAATGAGCCAACTTACTTGATCCAGGACGATCAGCCTCACGGACGACGTGGGTCATACCGGCCTTGTAGGCGATGAAGGCCGTCAAGTGGACGGGTTTGGTTGGGTCATCCTTGGGGAAGGCCTTTACCTTACCACGATGACGCTGGGACCTCTTCTTGGGGTAGAATCCCATAGACCCGTGACGGGGTGCACTGAATTTTCTGTGAGACTGAAAGAATGAAGAAATAGCACAAAATTAATCATACTGCCGGAGACACGAGGTCGGGTATTTTTGAGTGTTAGGTTAATGCTCAGACCGCCCTAGAATAATATCTTCATGGTTTATCAGTTTTAACCATAAACAAAGAATTATCTAAATCATCATGTAAAATGTGTGTAGAAGAGAAGAAAACTGATTGTTATACCATATTTAAGGAAAGATAGCTCGGATATAAAATTGTTGGTGGTGAATAAATTTTTTCAATACGATTGCTTGAAATATCGCCGAAAAATTCGTACTAATTTAATTAATAGAAACTTTTCTCGTTGTTAGTGTTAAGTTAAATGTTTTACAGAGAATTATTAGAATAATTGCAAGATGGCTAAAAAAAAACTAACCAAACATGTTACACGTGTAAGAATTTATAGCCGGCACACATGGCTTTTTCACAGCACTTTTATAACCGAAAATCAGCTTTATAAATAAAAAATATTTAATCAATGCAGTAAACCAACCATTTTAAAAGAAGTTTAAGTTAGAATTAATAGAGATGCAAAGTAGATGCAATTAATAAAAAAAAGATTCGGAGAGCCGATGTCTTACCATGATGACCCGACGTACAAAAAGGAATAGAGAGAATTCTAGATCGAAGCGAGAGACTTCGCAAGCAACGTCGTGGCGCCGCCTGGGAGAGTAAATTTCCGCGCAGTCTCCAATAAAGCGCGCTCGAGGCGCGCCAATAATTCTGTCGGGTGACGGTCAATGCATTTATTTATTTATTTTTTTTTTCTATCGAATAAATACGAACATTAGCCAGGAAACAAAATTGGAAATAAAAATATGTATAAAAAGGTTTTGATATAGATTAATTCTAATGGCGTCGTAAACAGTGAAAAAAATTTTATAAATAGTTATCAGTCAATCAACCAAATTGTCGGCTGAAATTTATACTTTTTATTTTATTGAAAAAAATATGAACTATAGCTGAAATTGTCAAAATAACGCTGCAGGAAAAAATAACAAAATGTATAATTTTCTACAAAAATTGCATACAAAGTAGATCGTATAAAATTACACGAATTCCATTACCGCAGCTCGATCGGCACAATAATACCGGCACCTTTGCCAGCTGTTGGAGAGTTTGTCAAATTCTTTGTCAACGAGAATGCGTTCAAACAATGAGTAATATTCATTATCGTGTATTAATTAACTGCGTGCATAGACTCGGCAGGGTGATTCCGATATAATACGCTAATAATTGGTATAATAGGTCACGAACCTCTCGAAAAAAATCCGCATCGTGCCCGATAGATAATACCAAACGAGATCTGAATGATAAAAGTAGGAAAAAAAGTACTTATGATACATAAAAGACTCCATGCAATGAACTCATGCATCGATGAACATTTAATTCTGTCTAAATAAATTATGCGATATAATTTTTTATAATTAAATCGTGAACTCTCTCTCATGTTTTCGCCTTCAACAGGAGCGAGGAATCGTACAAGACGTACACGGAAACGATGCCCTGGCTGAGGATACCCTTCGAGCAGGAGGACCGACGCCAGAGACTCGCCCGAGCCCTCGACGTCCAGGCCATACCCACCCTGGTCATACTCGATCCGAGGGACAACATAATCACCCTCGAGGGTCGCACGGAACTGCTCGAGGATCCCGAGGGTCTCGTAAGTATAAAAAAAAGTATTTGCACGTATTAAGATTGGAATCAAACACGTCGATCTTGCAATATGATTGCGTTTTTTATTACGAGCGAATCGTATTTTTTATTGCGAGAAAAATACGAGAAAAAAAGATTTTATAATTAAGAAAATTAAAGATTTGATTGTAATTTCTACAGTGAAATGTGAGTCGATCATATTTAGAAATAAAAAGCTTCAGAGGTCGTGTAAATTATCAGTCGAAGCAAAGCTGAGGTATATCGATACTTGAAATTCAATTAAAGTGACCTAGTTATTAAAATTAAATGGAATTAAGAGCTCATTGATGCTGGAAAAATGTTATTCAATTTTTGAAAAGTATTTTTATTCCCTTTTCCAAAGTAATTATACCTTATTTTTTTAAATTCCAAGGTGATTTTTTTTATTACTAAGATACAACCATTTCTTTGAGTCTTTTTCGTATATTTTGCGTGTTAAATTTTTTGCGTTCCTAGAGTTTTACGTTTTTCGAAGATGCACTTGCAAAAGTCGATCGATCATATGAGGCGTTTAATACCACAAGTATTCTATAGGCGTGGAGCAATTTCGCCTGAAATTGCTTAATTTCTAATTCGCCGAAAAACCCCCTGAACTCACTTAAAAAAATTATGTGACATATGGCTTCAATTGGAAATTTCCTCAGCTATTCAATAGTGGAGTGAAATTCCGAAAATTTTCCATTTTTTCCCGGAAAATTTTAAAAATGAACTTCAAACATTAAATATCTCAAAAAATGTATTTTTAAGATTTTGTGATATAGTTCGAAAGCTGAGGAGATTTCTAATCGTAATACATATTTTTCAGAGAGTACATGTTATTTCTATAAAAATTAAAAAACGTCGATAAACGTCTTAAAACATCCGATTTTGAACAACACGGGGTACTGCGCGACGAAACAGCTATTACGCGGGTCGAAATGTCACCGAAATTTCGAAAATCTGACTTCTTGGAAAGCTGAGGAAATAATTGTCTGTTTGTTCGTGAGTGCAGTTGCCATGTCTACGCGTGCACATGTGTACTAGACCGGGTCGTTTTTGCAAAAATTTTTTGTATCGCCTGGGCTCATGGCTGAGCTGAAAGTTCAAGGTTTCAGATGAAAAAAGCCGGGCTGCAGAAGTCAAAAAAGTGACCGGAACCGGTGTCGATAGGCTTTTGAAGTTTAAAAACGTGCTTCGGAAATTTAGCAAAATCGCGCAGAAAAATACATCTTTATCCCAAAAAACGACATTACGAAAAATTGAAAAATCGAAAAGTGTATTAGTTTCTTCCAGGAAATGGCTAAGTAGAATCAACTATGGAAAAAATTGCATGAAACTATCTGATAAATTCTGCTTCGCTGGTTTTTTAATGAATAGAGCTGGCTCAGAATTATTGAATTTTAAGCTAAAAAAATGCATCGTACGAAAATAGCTGTATCTCAGCGAATCTTGAGAATTTTTAACTTCTGAAACCGGCGTTGGGAAGGTGAGAAAAAAACCTATCAGATAGTTTCATGCAATTTTTTCCATAGTTGATTTTACTTAGCCATTTCCTGGAAGAAACTAATATACTTTTCGATTTTTCAACTTTTCGTAATGTCGTTTTTTGGGATAAAGATGTATTTTTCTGCATTAAAATAATTTCAAAGTGTATACTAATTTATACCATTGGATTCGTCATAAAAAATCCTAAACTTTAGCAGTGTCAAAAAATTTTCTAAATTTTTTCTGTTCATTTTTAAACGTTTACAAGACGATTTTTTGTTTTTCACGCAGAATAAAGATATCGAAAAAGTGCATTTTTTCAATTAAATCGTCCTCCTAGGTCAAAACTGACTACGAAATTCGATTCTACACACAAAAATACGTAAGAAAACGTTTTGTCGACATAAATTTTACCTTCTGAGCAATGTTAGCAATCTATTATATGATTGCCATTTTCAGAGCGATTTTGCTAAATTTCCGAAGCACGTTTTTAAACTTCAAAAGCCTATCGACACTGGTTCCGGTCACTTTTTTGACTTCTGCAGCCCGGCTTTTTTCATCTGAAACCTTGAACTTTCAGCTCAGCCATGAGCCCAGGCGATACAAAAAATTTTTGCAAAAACGACCCAGTCTAATGTGTACCCTTCGTAAATGATGTAGCCATAATTGTAAATGAAACTTTAGACATTTTATTATATTTTTAATGATGATTCAGTGCAAATAGTTTAAATAAATGGCGCAAAAATGTGGCATTAAACGGTGCGTTACACAACAAGGCATATTAATTCATTTTATTGTACAAATTTATATTTTTTTTTTCAATTTTCATAGAGTTATTGCAAATTGACGCATTTATTTAGAGTATTCACTTGAATGATTATTTCGATAAGCATTCCCCACTGAGGCCTCCAATTGAATGTAAAAAAAATATTTACCTTCAAGTGGTCGGAGTGTCACCTTTTGGGGTTGCTATAAGTTTATCACTAATCTTTTGAGATGAAAACCACGACTTTCTGGAGTATAATTATCATAAAATGATTTATTGCATGCATAAATTAACGAGAATGTATTCAATTCAATTCTGCTGAAGCAAATTTCACTGCATTTTCAAAGGCTACTTGTGATAAGCCTGTACATAAAGAGGCACCAGCGGCTTCGATTTCTTCGTCCGTAAAAGCTTTGACATCTTCTTTCGATGAGACTTCCTCTTTCTCCATTTCTTCTGATAGAGGAAAAAATGTAACATACATTTTATCACTATAGACTTCAATAATTTTTGCTGGCCAGAAATACGAATTAAACCTTTTCGCCAACACCACCTCATTGGGAGAGTAACGGGAAAGAAATCCCTGGTCTACCGGTATTGATACTACTGAAGGAGGGTCACTATGTTCCAATGGAATATCTACGATAGGTGGAAGGGTTTCCTCGTCATCGGTGGTCACATTTATTGGACTATCTTCGATTGGACTTATCGTAATTGTCCCTGGTTTATCAGCATAAAGAGCTTCATTACCTCTACTGAAAATTAAATTAAATATTTTAAGTATATAATTGTATTAATTTTAACATATTTACTCACATTAATTCAATCGACGCATTTTTTATATATTCGATCTCCTCAGAATCAATATCGATATTTTGTAAATATAATCGAATCGTTTCCACATTTTTATTTTTACACCGAAAAAAAGATCTAGCCGATTTAGCTAAGGCTTCATTGACTTTATTTTCTTTAGGAATACCACAGAGTTCTTTATATAATGCGGTGGCCTTAGAGTAATTGCTGTTATAAATCTTTCTATACTCTTCATAATCTAGTCCAGGAAAAAGAGCATATTCAATGCATACGATCGTTAATATCCCGGCATTCAATCGATAAAGATTAGTTACAGTTAAGTATTCGATTTTAAAATTAAGAATCGTTTTTTTAAACACTTCTAATTCTAATTTTATAGGTGCATAGGTGACAAATTTATTCAACCCCTTGCGTAGTATATCGATTAAAATTTTTTCGTTCTCTAAATCTTCTTCTTTCACTTCTTTTTTCTCCAAATAATTTACCAAATTAATGAGAACTTCTGCGCTTGCTTTTATTTGCAAATATTTTCGAGTTATATTATATCTTGGCAATGGAACAGTGCGAAAAGTTTTAAAAGTTTTCTTATTATTACTGGAAATTAAATTAAATTTTTTTAGACTATATAATTGTAGCAGGCATTTTCAATACATTGACTTACATAAATTGAATCGACGCATTCATTATGTAGTGCTTTTCTTCTGCATTAATGTCAACCGTTTTCAAATAAGATCTTACTGTTTGTAGGGATGTCTCTTTATTATAAAACAAGCTGTTCCTAAAAAAAAATCTACTTGATCTAACTATAATAGGATCAAGTTCATTTTCTGTTGTGAAACCACAAAGTTTACGCAGATTTTTATACATAACGGTTGCCTTATCATGTCTGCAGTTATATATTTTTCTATATTCTCTATGGTCTTTTCCGGGGTATAAGACATGTTCAACACAAGCGACGGCCAATATACCACGATTTATTCGATATAGATTAGTTTTCTTCAATTCATCAATGTTAAAAAAACGAAGAGTTTCTTTAAACGCATTAATATCTTTTGGCGGAAGGCGTTGTCTTACAGATTTACCCATTCCCTTACGTATTATATCATCCAAAATATCTTGATTATCTAAATGTTCTTGTGTAATTTTATTCTTATTCAAATAATCCACTAAAAGTATAATATGAACAGCAGCGGGTTTTTCACGAAAATATTCTTTAGTCATTAATGTTGGTGGCATTTTTTTTGTCAACTGCTCTTATACTGATGAAACTTTATTTTTAAAACTATTGGACGTTGAATGTTTATTATAAATATTTAATTTTGAACAGATTAATTAATATTACAATCTGATGTGTAAGACGTTCGATAATAATAGCTTTTGTGTCAATACCAACAGTCAAACGAATTTACGCTTTGCTCCACATCAATATTGTGTTTTCTAGCTCACATAGGATATAAATCGGTAGAAGAATAAATATACCAAAACATAATTTTCACGTTCTTCTTGTCATATTAATAATTTTTATGTATTAAGCAATTCAATTTATAACTACATTTTTGATTAGCTGTATCGCACCTCTGTTATTCACAGTCAAAATACAGCGGATTGGCATCCGTCGGACCCATTGATGCTAATTACATAATTCGGTCATCAAGATTGCATCCATTTCTTTAGGAAAGCAATAGTCTCTACTCTCTGCTCAACCACGAGTAAGGCGATCAGAGCCATAAATCAACTTGCACAAATACACAACGCAACAAAATTATCGCAACAAAAATTGTCATCGAAATTTGGTCAATTTTCAAATAATTCTATCTTTGTCTATTTTGATCGTATCGAGACATTTTTTTTTGATTTCTTGAAAATGTCTTTTTTAAATCCATATATATTACATATGGGTTCGGTCAATATTGAGTTACTGTAGTCCACATCATGTTTGAACAATCGATTTTTTTCAGAAATTTTTAGTGCTATGTTCAAATACTACTGGTAACTCGATATTGACTTAAACCCATATGTAATATATATGGATTTAAACAAGACATTTGCAAGAAATCAAAAAAAGTCTCGAAGCGATCAAAATAGATAAAGGTAGTCATTGAAAATTGAAAAAATTTCGATAAAATTTTTGTTGCGATAATTTTTTTTGAGTAAATTATGTGCATCTAGTCATGCCACTATATTCGATCAATAATTAATATGAACAACTTAATTGTACGTAAGAAAATTTTTTTTAATAATTGGCTGAATAAATCGAACATTTCAACAGAAATATATTATTCAAATTCAGATATCAAGTTTCAGTCCTATATAAAAAACGTGGATTTGTGCAAGGTGATTTATGGCTCCGATCGTCTCACTCGTGGTTGTGCCTAAAGTAGAGACTATTGCTTTCCTAATGAAATGTATACAATCTTGATGACGTAGTTTTAATTTTTCGCTTTGAAAGTTACGAGAAGTGAGGTGCATTTTTGAAAATATGTGTTCAAGTATTTATTCAAGGTGATTTATGACTGCGATCGCTTCAACTGTGGCTGTCATAGAGACCACTGATTTCTTGAAGAAATATACGCGATGTTGACGCAGTAACTTCAGGGGGTTGCTCTGAAAATTACGAGAAGTGACGTGCATTCTGCGCACTTGTAAATACACGCAAAAGAAGTAAATATTTAAATATTTAACACGCAAAGTTTCAGGAAAAGGCCCGCAGAAGTGGCTTGTGTCCCGCAGTAGAAAATAAAGGTATTAAATGTCAAACATGCTAGCGAACTCAATTTGATAAATACAATTTATTATGAAAATCAACAAACAGTAAAAATGAAATTTCAAGGTAATTTAAAAAAAAAGTTAAAATCCAAGCTAATCAATCTATTTTTAAAATAGAAAAATTGATGGAAAAAAATTAAACCGAATAGAAAAGTTGCTCCCAGTTAAACTTCCGATGCCTCAATTTTTTTCGTTTGCGTATTCACAAAACCGCGTAATACACTTCCACTACATCGAATAATGAAATTGCATTTTCCAGCGGGGGCGGGTAGGCTCTTGTAACGCGCCTCATGAATGTTTCATGGAAATACCGCGACGGCACGCGTAGCGGGGACCCAGTGTATAGTTATGGTACGAAATATCGCGCAACGTCGCGATACGTTATAAATCATCGCGTATAAATGAAGATTTATTAAACGTATTTGTTTGCCGCAGCGTTTCCGATCCAATTTTCTATCGTCGCTCGTATAGAATTTTTAATGCGCGTCATTCGCACGTATAATATCTATTTCGCACGAGGAATAAATTGTGCGCGAAAATGTCAAAGTGAGCAGCCCCGCCGACGTAGTCAACGCTTCCCCACCGCATGTATCATACATAAGAAGCCGTCGCGTCGCTTTTCTTCTTTCAGCTCGCCGCTCGCGCTCGAGTTTCCTTTGAACGCGTCCCTCGAGACGCTCGTGTGTCCGTCGATAATAATCTGCACGATGGGAGACGAACAAAATAAAATAAGAAAAAAACGCGTAAAATAATATTCCTAACGATCCTGTCTCATTTTCACGATTCACAGAACTTCCCGTGGACGAGTCGGCTGGTAAACATCCTCACGGAAAAATATGCGACGTCGCTCCACGACGCACCCGCCATCATTCTCTTTGTTGGTCAGTACAGCACTGTCTCATGCACGTATAGCAGTTTTTTTTTTGCAATCATAGATAAATTCATCTGATTCTTTTTTCTTTCGCAGAGGGCGACGACTGCGAGATACAGTTCGGCGAGAGCGTTCTGCTGCCCGCGGCGGAGTTGTACAGGCGCGAACGACCCGACTACGATCCCAACTTCGACGATCCCGACGATCAGTTGCAGTTCTACATTGCCCTCGACGTGAGTATACATAACAATTTCTAAATTTCAATTTTCTACGTGTAATGAACTAAAATTAAAATTAAAAAAAAAAAATTGCAGTGCGAGACGTCCGACATACTCCGGGAATTCGTCGGCCTCGAGGACGCGGTGCCGCTGCTCACCGCCGTGGACATACCACGGGGCCTCTACGCCGTGATGGAGGACGGCGCCGAGATCGGCGTCGAGTCGGTCCAGCAGTTCGTCGACTCGTATCGCGCCGGCAAGCTGCAGACCCACAAGATCACTGCGGTGCACAAGCAGAGCGGCGGCGGCGACCAGCAGCAACACCAGCCCGACGAGAGCCAAGAGTGAATGCGTTCAATCATTAAAATTTTTAATTTATAGAGAGAATACGCGACGATGCGTAACGAGAGAACTAATTATATCGTGTGTGTAAACTCGAGTAACCGAATATGTGATAATTGTAGATTTTCACGAAATTTTAGTTGACGATAGTATATAAGGTGCGCGACAGTATTTTAGCGATATTCCGTTAATTTTTTCCTGTGTCTTCTTTTTTTGTTTTTTAAGAGGCCCGCCCGATTAATAAACTGTATAATGAGTTTTAGTTGTAGGTATATAGTGTAGCACCGCTTAATAACAAAGTCTAAGCTTCTTTACATCGTGTCCAGATTGATAAATTCTATATATGGAAAATATATGAAACGGCGACAATTATAATCGTGATATTTTTGGAAGACGATTCAAACTTCGAAAAGATATATTTGTAAATTAATCAGAGTTCTTATTGTACTACTAGGAGAGAAAAAAAGCAAAGCTTCTTATTTGTATGCAAGCCAAAATGAAATTATATCATATAGCTATATGTGTGTAGAGGTATGTTTGCGGACTCAGTTGTTATAAAGAAAAAAAATGTTCGTTTCAATGCGAGAACCTCTTTATTGTGAATGTGAAACTATTTTATGATTTTGATTGAATAAAACGAATAAGTAAGCAATAACTACTGATATTGTATTCTTAATTATAATAAACTTTCGTTCGCCCACGACAACATTAAAAAAAAATTATAGTAATAAACTTGTATCCATCATGTCAACTACGCGTAATGATACACACTTGGATAAGTTTGCCTCCACTCGTTAAAAAAAAAGCAGCACGATCAATCGTCTTCTTAGTTTAGTCCGAACGCTGAAGGGGTTTCGCAGCGTCGCGTAAATGAAGATTTATTAAACGGATTTGTTTGCCGCAGCGTTTCCGATTCAATTTTCTATCGTCGCGCGTATAGAATATTTAATGCGCGCCATTTGTACGTATAATCTATTTCGCACGAGGAATAAATTGTACGCGAAAATGTCAAAGTGAGCAGCCCCGCCGACGCTTGAGGTCTATACGAACGAACAATGGTTTTTGACACGTTGAATTCGAGCATATGGTCATCAAGCACGTGTTTAGAGTACGTGCTAATAACGCGTACTCTGGAACTTATCTCTTTTTGTGGCCTATGGGCAGTAATGTACGCTATCCCACACTGACGCGTCTATTGTCAAAAATTTAAATCACGCGCGAATTTTGGAAAACACTCGTGCACGTGACGAGCTCCACCCACAGAAACAACTATTGGCTCTTTCTTTCCCCCCCTCTCTCTCTCAAATCGATGACATTCTGAGATACCTGAAAATTTCATTGGATAACGGAGCCAATCCGAATCAACCGGACTACCCGCAATCGACTTAGCTTCACGACTGTGTCTGTGCGAGTGCACTTCCGGCTCGAGGCTCTGCAGTTGGAGGCGGCCAGTTGCCGATCTGGTGAAAATGCTCGTCGATCGGGCAGCTCAACTCGAAGCACGAAATCGTCACGACGACACCTCCTCTGCAAGCGACTGCAGCTCGGCTGGATGTGGAGGCAACAACACGGAGCGGACTTGACCAATTTGAACGAGGATAAAATGTTCGAGCGCCAAATCCACACTAATCGAAATGAGGAACTATTACCTGACTTTGATGACCTGATCAAACCGGGAGTTCGAGATTTCTTGGGTCAAGGATGCGACGAATCAATACCTACCCGATTCCACGTCGGAAGCCTGGAATTCGAAGACCTTTGAATTTTGTTCACGATATTTCGATTATTTGTCGGAAGAAGTTGCCAAATGAGCTGTAGCGAGGCTCAGTCGCGATTGAAAAATACGAAGACTTGGCGCGTGTCTTCCGTATAGTGAAGGATATATCATGTAACAATACCAGTAACATCGTAAAAAGACACCTTGCGAATATATTCGTACAACTGTTGGACTTATTGCTCGCGACCGATATTCTCACATTCGACTTTTTGAAACTGCCGTACACCGTCTGCCGTCAAATTGTCGAATACAAGAGTCACGAGGATATATTAATTTTGTTCAAGTTTGATAAGCGAAGATAATAGCTCAGTTTAGTTCAGGGCATTTGGTGACTTTTCGAATTCGCGCGCCTGCCGCGGCCATCTTGCTTTCCGCGAATTCAGCAGGTGAGATCAGCGACGGGACAAGATAGTTCACATTTTACGAGCAGCCGACGCTTCTCGCCATCAGTGCAAGTCAGCAGAGCTGTCTGTTCTCACTCGCATTTTTGCACATCGAGCCGTTTCGTATTTTTCTTTTATAGCCGACGTTTTGCGATTAAAAAATCACAACGTTGACGCGTTAGCGATGTCCAAATCGAGTAGCGGAAGCCACTCGGAGCGTAATCTCGACCTGGCGAATGCCGATCGAGGAGTTTGGCTCGTCAAAGTTCCAAAGTACATAGCCGATAGATGGGAAAGGGCACCCGGCAGCATCGAAGTTGCCAAGCTCAAAATTTCAAAGTTAGTTAGTTAGTATTCGTATTGGTGAAGGTAATAGTGGGCGACAAATTGATTCGTAGGAAATATTAGTAATTGTAGCAGATTAGAACTCAAATACTTTAGTACTTTGTTAATTAATCAACGAGCATATTTTAGTTGTTAACCTATTTGCCAAAGATGTATCAAAGCCAATGTAAACATTATTTTTTATACGTGCTCTGAAATATCTAAATGATATTTTTTTAATTGACTTTTATTTTCTACAAGATTCAAAAAATTTTCTGTGAATAATAACTCTATTCTAAACTTTAATTCTACTTAAAATCTTTAACTCAGTTGTTGTATATTTTTTTTATCTAGCATTATTTGCATAAAGTACTATTTGTCAACTCCTGTTGTTTTGTTATTCAAGTAATTAAAATAAAATTTTCCTAGCTTTTGGAAACTACTCATTGTATTTGTCTGTATTATGTCTCATTTACTAGCTACTTGTACTGATTATTACTACTATTTTTCATTCAAACTATTACAGAAAAGTAGTAGTATAGTCAGCCTGACGCAGAAAAATATCTTATGAAATTTAGAAGCAGAAATCTGCCCTAGTCTTGTATTAATATGATGAAACTAAGGCATGTTTTCAACTCTACATTTCAAAAGATATGTATGAATTTGACGATATATATTTTTCCTACAATGATAATATTAGTTATTATAACAATTTAAATATTTTTAATGTTTTCCCACAGACATTATAAACAGAAAGCTGAAGTATCGCTCAAACTTTCTGAAGCTGCTTTAGCTTTGAAAGAGCCTGATGAACATGATATTCCCAAGGAGCATAAACTTGATGTTACTACAGTTGAACGCCAAACAATTGGAGTTTTTGCACAATTGAATTCATCAGAAGCTGAAGTAGCTGGAAACAAAATATATATGGAAGGCAAAATTGTTCAAAAATTGGAATGTAGACCATATGCGGATAAAACGTACATGCGTCTCAAAATGGAAGGTATAAGGAAGGCCTCAATTCCTAAAAGACAAGCTCAACAATTGTCGAGAGCTGTCCAGAATTTCAAACCTGTATCGGATCATAAACACAATGTGAGTAATGATGTATTAATATTACATCTTCAAACTATTCCAATACCTTTGCATAAGTTATAATTTATCCCAAAAAATTAGCTATTTTATTTTCAAAATAACAATACAAAATAACCATTTCTAATTTACAGATTGAGTATGCTGATAAGAAAAAGTCAGAAGGAAAGAAAATGCGTGATGACAAAGATTTTGTTTTGTCTAAACTATTTAAAGCTTTTGAAAAACATCAGTACTACAATATTAAGGACTTGGTTAAATTAACAAACCAACCAGTGGTATATTTAAAAGAAATTCTAAACGAAGTTTGCAACTACAATTTAAAAAACCCTCACAGAAATATGTGGGAACTCAAACCAGAATACAGGCATTATGCAGCTGATTAATCTAAGTAGGAAACATAAATACTTTAAAAGTGTAAATATGTTTAAGTAGTAATAAATATATTTTTATAATTCAAATTTTTGTTTTTAATTTCTTAAAAACATTAAATTTCATATTACATGTGACAAGAAGCTTTAGATGAGAATAGGAAATAAAATGACTTAAAATCATACAATCTTGTTGAGTCAAAAACTGGTGCTTGAATTGAAACTTTAAAAAATTCAAATTTATTTTATTGAATATTCTGACTTTACAAGATTCATTCAGAACTTCATTCAACTGAAAAATTCTACAATTATTGGTAATCTTTTGCTTTTTACCATGAAATAGAATTGAAAAGACTAGACACTTGTTGCTCTTCAAAGATTTGTTTTTTTTTATTATATGTTATTTTTTTGGTCTGTATTAAGAAGTAAAAATTTTACTGATCGTGAGCAATGTACCACTTCGACCACAGGTTGCGGGCGTAACCACTGATATCCTGAAGAACAACTAAATGATAATCTTTCAATAATAAGATACGAAAGACAGTTTATTTCGAATACATGAATTTCTAAAAAAAACCGGAAAAAAGATAATCAAAGTTTGAGATTGATGAGTTCTTGATGGACTTGATTGATGAATTCTTCATTTTTAAATAAGGAAAAGATCTACATATTAATCTTAAAAAATTTTGACGAGTCGCAAAATATAAACCACTTAAAGTGTGATAAAAGCCGATATTCTATTGATTCCTAGCCATGTTGCACTATATAATTCGTTATAATACAGGTGAACAGGTAAATGTGAATTGAGCCAAGACTTGACTGTAAAAAATTTGCATTTCCATACAACAGCCTCTTTATTGTGAATGTAAAATTATTTTATAATTTTGATTGAATAAAATTGATAATTAAGTAAAAACTAAGTTCTGACACAATAGATTCCTGATTAATAATATAATTTCAAAGTTCATTGTTGTAGATTAAAACAAAAAGACGACATGATTAGTATAATTACGACAAATTTTAATGTCTTTTTTTAACGCCTTACTATTCAACAACTTTTTTGAATAGTTGCTTCAACGCAGTAATTTTTTAAAAACTCACAGTATACAAAAACTAATGCATCGGCGTTTGTTTAGTATTTATTTAGTTATTCTATGAATTACTTATAAAAATAAAAACATCTTAAGCTTACGTGATATCATTGATTACCTTCAAGCGACTCGCGCCTGTTAATTTTATAATTAAATTAGTCCATCCATTAGTAAATTCATAAAATATTCATGATATACGGAAAGCAGGATAACTTCAGTTTGTTTTTTTTCCTTTTTCATTTCAATAAATATGGTCTCAATTGCGTCATTGTTATATGGGTAAAATTTCCTTTGATATCCGTCGCCTACTGTAATGAAATTAGAGACAAATATTCCTGACCTGCAGTATAAATCCAATATTTGTCTATCTTTTTATTGTAACAATGCCGATAAAGCATCAAAGAATTTCGGTCGATCTTCGGATTTTAATCTTGCCACTAAAAAAAAAGAAAAGAGATAATTATGCAAACAATGTAACAATATGAAGTTAAAAATGCAAATTAATTTCTTTAATTAACTTACTAGTTACGTCAAAATAGTCTTGATCAATAAAAGAATTAGTGTTTTCAGCTGCCTGGGAAAAGGCTTTGCCAAAGAAGCTGAAAAAAAAATTTTTATCAACTTAAGATTTTTACTCTTCAAAAATCAAGAGCAAATATATACCTTCTGGGTTGCTCTTCCAATACTGGTGGTACACCAACGATTAGGCATGTACCCTCTTCTTCGCTAAATGTTGCAGAAGCAACAAGAGGAAGAGTGGCAGTTTTTCTACTCCTTGTTGATTCTGCATAAGCCCTCAAAATGAATTGAGCCAACATAAGTAACATATGCGGATGAGCAAATAAATGATGGTGAAGCATTCCTTCAGAAATGACTACGTATAAAAAGTTTCCAGCATTTGTAACTTGTTTCAATTCCAACAAGCTCTGAGCAGCTTTGAAAACATATCCTAACATAATTTTAGCTTTTTCAATGCCTTTTTCAAGTATTTCTTTTTTCATGCGTGATAAACAGTCTGATGCCTCAAGAAAACAAAGTTGCGGAGGTCTGTCTCTGCCCTGTAAATATTTTGATCAAATTAATATAAATTCAATCTTGCATTTATTATTGCAAGAATTTTATATGATTTCAAACTTACAGTTGATTCTAATATAGCTAACATAGCGTAAACAATATCAGTAGCACAGTATTTAAATCTGTATCCATACTGCATTGTAAAATCTCCACTAACAATGCTTCTTATTTTGTACTTATCAGAGAGCTTTTCAATCATGTCTTTGAATTCATTTCGAAGAGTCAAATCCATGGACGAAAATTTTTGTTTTGATTGACACAGTGGGAGTCCCATCTCAGCTAGTAGTTCTCTCATTCTATGTTGTCCTTTAATTGACCACAATCGTAATGCAACAGCTGTTGGCAATGAGTGCTTCAAACTATCTTCGACAGTCCAATGACGGTATAAAGCCAATCGAAGACTGGAAAACAATAAAAATGTTAAAATGTAATATTTTTTTCATCTAATTGTTCAATTACTTTTCATGATTTCTCTACTTACTCTTTGTCATAAGTCACTTTAATTGCACTTAGTTGTTGTTTATCAATATTACCTCCTCTGGCATGAGTTAGTCTTGAAACATGACTTTGTAAGTTGCCACTTTCTAGAACACTAGTGCTAGATTCTACCTTATTTAAAATAGCTTGTTCAGTTGATCCAATGATAGCCCACCACACCATATCTAAATTATCTCTTGACATTTGCCATGACATTTCATAAGCTATAACAGCACTCTGAAATAAATTTTATAAAATAATAAAATATACTTACCAGATTTTTTTCTGATTCATAAAAAAAACTTACAGATTTGGCATAGTAGCTTAATTGTTCATAGTGAAATAATGCCTCTTCACGTTTTTCTTCCCATTCACGCCTCTTTATTTTCTTATTTATTCTAGCTTCATGCTGTCGGAGTCTTCTATTTTGTGCAGATTCTTCTTCATTATCCGAAAATTCTTCCTCATCTTCCTCGTCAGACTTACATTGAAAATAAAAATTCATCAATAAGTATACGTTGCAGAAAAAAAATTGACAGTTATCAAAAAGCTTACCGATTCATCATTGAACACAACATCGTATTCTGGAATTGCTTCCTCCAAAGTTGGATCGCCAAGAAGTTTAATCTGTTTTTCATTGTAAACATTTTTCAAATCATACGGTCTGTGACTATCTAGAATGAAAAATGTAACAGTCTCTTCCGGCTGGAGTATTTCAATCAAGTCAATGTTTCCACCACAATTGACCAGAACAACGTATTCGATCTTGAGTGAAACAATAAGAGATGTTAGATTTGTAGATACACGCCAGAACAAGTTTTTGTAATCAACGCTGCAGCAAACTTACATCCTCAGCGTTGTCGTCGTATGCACTTTTCAAGTCTTTGACACCCTGCACCGGTACCAGTGTGTAAACGACATTATCGTTCTTGAACAGGGACTGCAGTATCTTGGACGCACAGATGCCATCGACGTCGAAGTTCACCAGAATCAGGCATTGCTGCAACGTAAACAAAAAAATAATCGGATGATTTAAAGGGACACACTGGCTATTTAAACACACGCTTTTAATTTAAAGAACACAAACCTTGCCCGCGACGACCTGGTAGAAGTCCTTCGTCAAATCCTTCACGAACATCGTCGAACGGAGTTAAAGTGCAATATATATCAAGTAAACGAAAGATGAAGCTGCAGCAACCAACGACTCAAAAAATCAGAGGGTCATCAGATCCGTTAGAAAACGTGTATTAAATCGAGATTAACACCGCGAGAAAGAACGAGAAGAGAGAGAGAGAGACAGAGACAGAATTCGATTGCATCGAACGTATCTCTAGTGGACAAGTCGTTGAACGGTTTTGTACACACACTCGGGGGCACGACCGTCGACTATATACCACCAAACTGCGGGTCTGCGGGGGCCTAAGTCAGTTTATTTCTGCGTATATAACTGAGCGTCGTTTTGCCGCCAAAAAAGTCGCAATGGTGGACAGACGAGGCGCTCTCGTCGCGCGCGGCTCACATTATTACCGGTCGATTCGTGTTCTTTTTACATATATATTTTTAAACATTTCGAACGCTCGGTAAGAACGCGTCGAGCCTGTGTTGAGCGAGAGTCAGTAAGATGGCGCGAGCCTCGGTCCGAATTGCGCGCAAAACTTCGTTGGCGGGACGGTTCGAGTAAGGAGTAGCTAGAGTTTCGCCGAGTTTGAGAAGGAGAGACCGCGAGCCCACGACGACGACGACGACGACGATCTCCACTACCAGCGCGCAAAAAAGAAGTAGTAGTGGTGCAGAAAACACTACACGGTACTCGCGGGGCCGCGTGTGTGGGGCTAGCGCATACACACACACACACGTACGATATAGTATCCTCTCGTTCGCGCACGCCGCGCTGTATAGCACACGCGAAACCTCGGGGCAGCCGTAGCGTAGTAGTATACCTCCCGCAGAAAACGGCGTTATAACCCATAACGCACTCACCTGCCGGAGAGGAAAAAGGCCTCTACTACTCCGCGACTGCAGCAGCGGCGCGTGTACGTGTGTACATTACAAGCGTGTGTGCTGTGCCCGCTCTTGTGCCGTGTGTAGTGCACGTCGAGTCTCGGTCGGTCGGTCGATCGGTCGCGATCGTGTTTTATTATTTTACACACACACACATAATCGCACCGTTACACTTTTCTCTTTCTCTCTCTCTCTCTCTTTTCACTATCTATGTCTATCGCAAGTCGCGTTTTATTAATCTGTTTCGTACCCGTTGTTGCTGCAAAAGTCCGTTACGAGTGGTGTGCACGAGTTCGGTAGCGATCGTTGTTGTTGTTTTTTTTATTCAAAAAAAAAGGAGTGTTCGATTCGTTCGCTTGTTTTTTCTAAGTGCTCAAGTGCATTGTGCGTGTTGTAAAAGTAAAGAAAAAAACTAGTGACAGATCATCGATCGATTTTTAAAAATGTAATGAATCCGAGAGGAGGACGTTACTCGCGGGCCGTTGTGAGTTGCTCCGAAGCTTGCGCGCGAGTTGTGGAGGGCTCGTTCGTCGCTGTCATCGATTATCATCATCATCATCATGCAGCCGCTCGTCAGATCCTCCTCGGGCCTACTGTCCTCGGCGTTGTTGGTAATCGCGATAATCGCGATCAACGGCGTCGGACGGGTCGTCGACTGCAGCAGTGGCAAAAGTAATGATACCGTCGCGGATTACGCGTCGCCGCAACGTAAGCAGCAGCAGCAGCATCGAGTCGACGTCGAGGCGATCGCCGACGACGAGATCGACGACGACGATGAAGAGGCCGACATCGAAATGGTGTTCTTCGAGGCGATTCGCAACGGAGTGCAGGACTCGTCGACGCCGCTGCTCACAACAGGTCAGTTCATATTCGTTCGTTCGTGTACATACACCATAATACATATACGAATATATTTTTTAAAAATATACGTGAGACAGTTGAAAACAATATAATGTCTCGGGCGTTGCTCTCGCGCAGCGTATACATTTTTATACGTGCCGTGCGTGGAAAGAACAAACGACGGCACATTGCCGCTGCTGTTGCGAATTGATATTGCAAAAATCTTCGCACACAGACGTACATGCATATGTAGCTCTATATGTAGCTGCGTGCATACTACTTCAGGCATCCACGGCTTTTATTTATATGTTATATACCTATACACACATTATATTCGTGTCACGCCTAAATTCCCACGGCGAATCGAGGCCTTTATAAGCAGTAGCAGTGCGGCACAATGTGCTGCACTCGCTGCCGAGACGCATATATATATATATATATATCTGTTCTGCGAGTGCACGTGTGTGTGTTTGTGCGTCTATTGCTAATAGCCGCGAGCTGCAGTGCAATATCAACACACAAACACAAACTCAAGAATCACGGGATGCGAGAGGAATCAGCACGTTGTATATCGCGATATTTACTTTTCCACGTAAACGCGTGCTGCATCCGCTTTTCTTTAAATCTATATTGGTTTTTTCATCTCATTTTAGAATAGTAATGGTAAAACGAGAATACTAAAACGGGAAAAAAATTACGGATCTTTGCGCATTTGTAATCATGGCAGCGGCAATATTGCAGGTGGTTTTGGTGAAAAATTTGGCTGCATTCGTCGCTGCATCAAATGCAATACGCAAAATCCATATTAACTGCACGTTTAGACATACAGGCACAATTTGCACAGCTTAAGACGAGGAAGTTATTACGCTTGGCTTCTCTCTCTCTCTCTTTCACGTCATGTAGATGCATAAACGATTTCTCACATTCCTTTGCAACCTACCACTAAGTGGAGTCATGCACCAAATCAATTCTTTTTATCATTTATGTGATATAAATGTCAGTTTAATGTCAATCTACATTTTCAACATAAAATTTATATCTTAAAGTTCTAAAAAATGTGTATAAAAGTTGCAGAAGGTTTTGTGGATTTAAAAATAGTTTATTTTTGCTATACTAACATTTTCGCGTCAAACGCAGAGGGGTAACACAATGAACACAAATTAAATGAGTTAGTGGTAAAAATTTTTTTCTTTATTAATTTCATGACAACAATACTAATAGAACCTTGATAATTTTCATCATACATCTTGTAGCCTTTCTGGAGCTTTTTTAACTCCGTAGGTCTTTTATTAATACATTTTATTACATTTTTTATCAAATTTGTATTACTATTCTTTTGTCTTTTGTCTTTTTAGAGCTTTTTGAGCTTTTGGAGCTTTAGTCCTCTTAAGTTCTTTCTTAACACATTCTACTTCATTCGATTGTACCTTTTTCTTACCGTCCTCAAGACTTTTTAGTTCAGCTGCCAAGCAAATGTTATATAAATCTTGGTTTGTAAATGATTTATCGACGATCATTTCACAGCAGTCCATTGTTAGTCGATAGGGTATCAGCTCCCAGAAACATTCAAGTGCCCAGCTTCGGAAAAATTTTCTCGATAGTTTCTCGCACAGATGCAAAATACAAGCATTTTTAAGTCGTGGAGGCATGAGAGATATTACATCACAACTTGATAAGTCAAGGTATTTCTCATATGTGATTGTTTTTGCGGCCTCTTCAGGTTGTAAGAGCAACAAATCTTCCATAACCTTGAACATCGGACCATTCGGCGTCTCTTTTATTTCCTTCCTGAAATTCTCGAAATCAGACCAAGATTTTTCAAAATCTCCAGATTTCTCGAACAATTCATATTTAACAAATAGTTCCATAATCATTAGGGCTTCACTTCGGTATAATTCGTATCCTCTTTTCTTAAGCTGTTCGATGACGCCCACGGCCCTAGCAGCTAAATTCAATTCAAAAATAGGCTGAGATAAGATGACCATATGATTTCTATTTTTACCAAAGCAATTCAAAGTGGGGAAAACGAAGCTTGACAGATCAGCACCACGATTCAATAGTGTATCGACAGTTCGTGGCAAAAGACTCGCAACGGCCCATTGCAGCGGAGTCCAACCCAACTTGTCTCGGGCATCGACTTGTATCGTTTTATTTAGCTCGTCGCAGATTTTGAATAAAGTATCTATACACTCCAAGCCATTGTATACCTTGCAAAAATGATGCAGAGGCGTCGATCCGTCCTCGTTGGCCGAATTAGGATCGCTGCCATTTCTCAGCAGCAATTCAATCACCGTCCTTCTACTTGGCGACTCGTGTAGCATTGCATATGAGTTCAACGGTGTGTTACCTTTCTTGTCGAGGGTGCTGACCTGCAGTGGACGATATTTTTTTCTGCTTAACTTGAATAAATCTTCTGCTAACGCATGCGCTGTCATCATCTTGCAAGTCAAGTGCAAGGGTGTCAATCCCTCTGCATTCAGTAAATTTGGATTTGCGCCTTTTCTTAGCAGTAATTTGAACAAATTTCCGCTCCAGGGACGAATTGCCAAGTGTAGCAGTGTGTTACCTGACCCGTCAGGATCTCGAGTATCTACTTGCACCGGATGGTACTTTTTGTTGCTACAGTAGAATAACATCCTTGCTAAGTCATCTCTTATTTTGTTGGGGTCTTGCTTGATTATATTCTGCAGAGGTGTCAATCCTTCCTTGTTAAGCAAATTTGGATCCGCACCGTGATTCAATAGCAGTTTTACTACTTCTTTTCTTTTGTAAGTCAGAGCCAAATGCAGCGGTGGTTCAAGTGATTTTTGTGGCGGACGATTAGGGTCCTGGCCAAGTTCGAGGAAACTCTTGACAACCTCGTGACATCCTGACATGACGGCCACATAGAAATGCGACAGGCCGGACTCGTCAATGTAGTTTACATCAAACTTGTTGTATACCTTGAAGAGATTAGAGATGATATCAACAAAAAGCTTATCTTCGCGCGGATGCCCGTTTGTGGCTACGCGATGTATTACGGTGGTACGACGCAGCAGTGGCTCGCCGTTTTTGTCGACTTTTGACTCGTTATTGAAGTCGCACTGGGCCACGAACTCACAAATAAGTTTTCCTCTACTGTAAGATTTAGGCTTTAAGAATCCGCGTGCACAGTCCAAAGAATCCAAGAGAATGCACTCGATTTGTTCGGGCTGAAAATAATCTCGGAGATCTGGAAATACGCCCGTCCAATTTTTGATCGCCTTATGAAATTGGTTAAGAAAATTAAGTCGCTCTTTTTCGTTCTCCCAGTCGATTCTTTCTCGCAATTTCTTCAAACTTTCCAACTTTTGTTGGTTAAAGAAACTCAAACTGCACTTGACTTTTGACGTAGACATTTTGCTGCGCATTCACTCACAAACACAATGCACGATCACTTATAATTTGAAATATTGGTTATTTTTTACTGAATGCAATCAAGCGATCTTCGATTGCAGCTAACACTTCACTGTGACAACATAAACTAAATATTTTTATGCACAAAAATGTATATGCACAGAGAGAGAGAGAGAGAGAGAGAGAGAGAGAGAGAGCGAACACGTATT